GACAGTCTTCAGAGCCATGGTGTTGATATTCCTCTAAAAATCCCAGCCTTTCCACTTCTCTAAAGCATGAGAGGAGCTGCCTACCTTAGCTTTTGCATATTGATAGAAATCCAGGCATCAACTAACAGAAGTTAAGCGATGATGGAAAGCTCTTCCTGCAAAATGGCTCTAGAACTTGCTGAGACGAGAGCCCTACTGATCAAACATTGCGTGTAGTGCAAGAGCAGGACTGTTATCTAGGTGATTCCTGTAACTGAAGAAGTTTAACTAGTGTGATGCTGAGGGTGGAGGAAGAGCTCATATAGCAGTTCAGAGATCGTGCTACAAGTCAAGTGTAGCGCACGGATAATACTGAAAAGGGAGGCTACGCTTCCAGTAAAACCAGTGACCAGCTTTGATAGCGTGCCAGTTCTGCACCTTCTCCTAAAAAAACTAACCTCTGAGGAAAAGGCTCAAAGGAGCTGTTGCATTCAGTGCTATAACCATTAATTATGACCTGAGTATGTGAATGCTGTTAGAGACTCTCGCTTCCCACGTTGTCAGAAATGAATGCAAATTGAACACTTATTCAGAAGAAAATTGGGGTTTAAGTAGCCATGTGGGTGGTCATGAAGTAGAGCAACCGTGATCTAGTCCTGGCCTCTGCTGTCAGTCTCCTTAGATGGTCTCTTACGAAAGCAGAGATGCTTCGTGAAGGTCTTCAGATGCGAGTGCGATGGCTACAAGCTTAGAGGAAAACAACGGTTTATCTGTGAGTTTTGCTAGAGAGCCCCGTTTCCCTGGGTGAAGGTGACTTAGAGGGAGTGGGATAGTAGGAGCTGCGGCTAGCGATGCTTGACTGCAAAGGACCTGTGATGAGAGCAGTGACTTAAAATCAATCCGGGAATAGCAGAACTTAGTTATCCAATGCTGACTTCACCTCAATTTCCCTCCTTCGATTCTGCAGACACTGTGAGGCTCCTTTTAACCTGGGGATGTTGGCTAGCGCTTCTCTCGCCTACCAGCCTGAACCATGCAGTCACCAAAGGTTCACTTGTGATCCCAAAACCTGAAGAACAGTCTTTGAGTGAAGTCCCAGTCACTTCTGAAGGGAAGGGAATTAAGGGGGAGGGATGGCGGGAATGGTGCACAGGTTAGCAACGTGTCGTGTTTTTTGGCTTTCTTCTGTGAGGCCACAGGACGGAGTGTTGCTTCTGTAGGTATCTGACAAAGTAGCAGGTGAGCTCGCTCCATACAGACACTGAGCACGCCACTGGGGTATCTAGTGCATGCTTCTTCCACTTGCTGTCATACGCCGGAGGGATTCAGTATCAGCAAAGCTGTCGGCAAGTGCCAGACTGGCACTGGGAAGTGGCGTGTGAAGTCCTCCCTAGGTGGGTCTAGTACACAGCAGGCTGGCTCCTGGCTGTTTGTATCCTCTCTGCAGGAAGAGCAGTTAGGCAACTCAAACTGGCCGTCTTCAGCACCTCCTGGTGCGGTGTTTCCAGTTCACTGGCCCTCCCAATCTTTGCTGGAACTCCCTCTGATGCTCACCTACAGAGATGGCTGCGTGCTGTCTTGCTTGTGAAATTGCAGGGCTCTCTTGACATCTTCTAGAGATAAGTAGAGGAGGTCACGAAAGCGTGTTGCCTTCATAAATAGTTCAGAAATGATGTGTGGGAGTGGGACCACCGATAGTGGCCCAGGCATTTAGTGAACCATATCTCACAGATTCTTGTCTTAACTTTCCTTCCCTGCTGCCAGTTGCTCAGACTTTCAAAGGGGGCTGTTACTTCTGGGCACTCTGGAAGTTGCAGGCACCTGGCTGCCTTGCAGCTCCTGCAGCGCAGGAGCAGATGGGCAAGTGTGATCTGTAAGTGGCTGAGAAAGTCAGATTTTGGTCTGCCACCCCCTTATCTCGGGTAATTTGAAAACTCACATTTATGTCTGTGCTGTTCTGTAGTGACCAGGAGTTTCCTTTTTTTGCCTTAAGGAACTGAAGTGCGATGCCGAGGGTCCCTGCTTTCACTGACTATTCATTTGTTACAGAAGTACCACTCGGAGAGCAAGGGCACTGACCAGGTGGCAGAGACGCAAGCTCAAATCGATGAACTTAAAGGAATCATGGTTCGAAACATAGGTATCTGGCTTCCCTCAGTGCCACGCGTGCAGAGTTCCTCTGGGCCAGAATGGCAGTCCCGCAGGGAGAGTTACTGAGGGTGAAGCTGATGGTGGGGTGGCCTCTCTTGACAGAAGGAACCCATGAAGAAGGGGCTGGGGGGAGCTCAGAGTTTGCAAGCTGTTACTTGCGTTGAACGTGGTTGAGGGCGGCACGTGGGCGTGAGGAGCGCCGTTCGAGATGAACTTGCACAGCTTGCGATGGGGTGAAGCATGCTCTGGGTTCGGTCCGTTTGTCACTCTGACTTTCCTGCAGCTGCTGTGAGGAAAATGCTCCTTGGTAGCTTACGTTTTTTCTTGTGTCAGACTCTGGTTTGGGTTTTGACAAGTCTGACCACTTAAAATAGAGGATGGGATCTGGAATTGACCAAAATTGAGTCAGGTCAGTCCCAAAACGTAGCGTGTGTGATGTGAGACTGTTCCTGAAGTACTGTTGCCTGGCAGTCTCTGAAAGGCTGAGAACTACTCGATGCCTAATAAGCTACTGCCAAGAGCTCCTGGCCTGCAGTTGGGCTTGGGTATCAGAAGCAGCTTTTTGCTCTGGGATTTCACCTACAAATTTGGATTTTTGTCTCTTTCTCCAGACCTTGTGGCACAAAGAGGAGAGAAGCTGGAGTTGCTGATTGATAAAACAGAGAATCTTGTGGATTCGGTAAGTCTGGGGAAGAACTTGGAAATGGGGAAATAGTGTTACTGCATCAATTGTGCTCATCAGGGAGCAGTGGAGGTGAAGACCAGCATCTAGAGCCACTTCTAAACAGACACTGAAGTGTCTAGATGTACAAGTAGTCCTCCCCTGCATCAGACACAAGTCCTGTCTTATTTCCCCCTCTCCTTACAGCTGTTTCACAAGCTGCATCCCAGCCTTGCAGCTCCTTTAAGAGAATGAAGGGATCCCGTGCACCTCTGTTCTGTGTCCTGCCAGCACTGGTGGGATTTGTGAGTGTCTGCTAAGTGCTAGGCTGCACTGCTGACCAAATGCTCTGCTCCCAAGGACCAGCTGCCCCATCCTGTTAAAGAACCATCTTCAACTTGCTCCCATTTGCTACAACCAACGTGCGGGCTAACACGCTGCCAGCACAAGCGGTGGTGTTTCTTGTCCTCATCCCTTGTGCCCCTGGCGGGGAAAACCCACTCTGTCTGGAGTGATAGGAAAGCTGAAGATCATAATTAAAACTTCTCTTGCAGCCTGGTCTGAAGTCAGCTTGATGCAGATAAACTGGAAACATGTTAATCTGTAGAGTTGTTCTAGTAGTATACCAACAGGGCAAGTTGTAGCTGTTTTTTGAGGGGGCGGGGGAAAAGCTGAGTTGTTCCACCTAAATAGACTGTAAAAGACTCTGGAGCTTCATGGAGTCTTTCTAAGTGAGAAGAGACTGAAAACCCCCAAATTTAATGTAATTGTAAAGCATTATGTTATCTACTAAAGTGTCGTACATGCTGGAAGCTCTTTTTTCTTTCCTCTGGGAATCCCTAGACCTGGCTCAGCATCCTCCTCTGCAGAGTCCTGGCTTCCCCAGCCCAGCAGAGTGCCAGTCCAGTGTCTCCTGTATGGGGCTTGTGGAGATCCAAACATCTCTGAGCTGGGAAAAAGTATTCATGCTTTAGAGAGGTAGTAGAGATGCCCGGAGCTTACCCGGTGGGGAACACTGTCCTCCAGCTGTCAGGTGTTTAAACCTCACCACTTCCTCAGGTGGTGGCAAGTAGTCTAACCTCAGGTAGCGCTCTAGACAAATGGGCTGGAATTCCTTCAGCAATTAGACTGAATTCATGTACGAGCTCTCCCAGGGAGTGCTGGTTTTTGGAAACCATGCAGAAAATAAAGCAATGGGATACGCCTCTAGCGTGAATGTCTTACAGCCCAATGGCGAGTGTCCTAGGAGGTCCAGGGCTGAAGTTCTCAAACTTCAGAGTAATGGACTGTGTTTTATTACTCCTGTATGAGCCTTGACCACCAGAATATTGTACATAAACCCGACGTGTTAGAACCCTCCTAGCAGCAGTGGCGAGGGCCCCCTTTTGAGAGGGAGGTCCGAAGAAGCTGGTGGTCGGAGTAGCCCTGTCCTCTGGAGAACTAGTCTGGGCTGAGGTGAGGTGTGCTGGTATCCAGCAGTCCGCTTCCACAGGTAGAAACTGCACAGCTGGGCAAGAGAAGTGGTCCCAAAGTTCAGGTGAACTGAGCTGAGCGGGGGAATCGGCTTTAAGTCAAAATTGCAGTTCACAGGGATGCGGTTCTGCCTGGTGTAGCCGCCTCTGAGAAAGTTGGGGGGTGGTTTGTGGGGAAAACCTGAAAATAACCAGCAGGGTGTGCTGCCGAGTTGGCTGCTTCTGGGAGCTGCAGCCGTTCCCTGGGCAGGCACATCCTTGCATGAGCCGCTCGGGGAAAAACGTGTGACAACAGTTGTGCTAATACAGCCTGGTGGGTGTTGGAGGTCATTTGGTGACCGAAACCTGTTTTGAATGGGTGGAACTGCAAGGGGACAGGGGGGAGACTTGGAACAGGGCGACCACAAGCTTGCCATAAAATGCAGCAAGCCCAAATACTGGAGGAAAGTTCTAGCATTGAAGGACTTGCCTAGCCCCTGTGGAACTGCTGTCGAGAGTAGCAATATGGGTTGTCTCGTTTCAGCAGGTGTATTTACAGTGATGAAGTCGCAGGTAATATGTTGGTGATTAGATCAGTAGTTCCGTAAATATTTTGGAGCACTTCAGTTCCCAAAAGGTTGGAAGTCAAACGAGAACCCAACCAGAAGTACTCTAAGGTAAACGAATCCTTGTGGGCAGCCTACGGACCCGGTGATGTTCTGTGTTTCATTCTCCCAAGCTGAGCGTGGGAAGGCACAACCCCGAGCTGGTTCGGGACTTACCCTTACGCTTCACCGTGCCCCTCAAGTAGCGTGGGAGAGTTTTCTCTTGATGGCTGTTCAGTTTTGTATTAGTGTAACTGCAGGAGTTAAGTGGCTCTGGAGGAGATAACTGCAGTGGTTTGGGTTATTGGGGAGGTAGTAGCTGGGAAGAGCCTCTCCGTCTAGCTCCTTGGGACGCAGCTTCCTTCGCAGCAGGTTCAGGAGTTAATTAGTTGTTTTACTTTCTCTTGTAGTCAGTCACTTTCAAAACTACCAGCAGGAACCTTGCTAGAGCCATGTGTATGAAGAACCTCAAGCTTACCATCGTCATCATCATTGTATCAATTGTAAGTATGGAGCACAATAACCTTTAGCTCTTAAGTCAGACTTAACTACTGGAAAACGCCAACAGCATACTACTGTCTTTGGACCCGCGTGTACTCAGCTCTGTGCCTGGAAGGGTCTTAGCTGTAAAACAAGTGTTTTGATGGTCTTGTGCGAGGTGAGGAGAGAGGAGCATCGTGCCAGGCAGCTTTTCCTGTCAAGGCATCAGGAACAGCTTTCCAGACAGTGCTGTCTAGCTTCTAAGTGCCCATCATAGACGGCTGCCTCGCCAGCTCCATTAGAAGCCAAGGTTTTGAGTTTATGGCTGCTCTACCTCTGATAGCTTTTTAGGCCTTAGTCCTGTTGCTATCTTGATGCTTAACTTCGAAGTAGCTTCTTCCGATGTGACGGTGTGCCTCCGGCCTGTAACAAATGCAAACAGGGCTAACGTGGGGATGCTGAAGTGTACTTGCAGGTTAGACGTGTGAAGTGCTTTGTCGCCACGGAGCCCTCGTTCGCCTTTCGCTGGAGGACAGTTCTCATCCCCACGTTGCTGCAGGGGTGTGGAGGAAGAAGAACCGGCACAAAGTCCTGTAGGGCATTTGACAAGTTATTTAGGGTTTTGATAACCTGGGGTTTCCAAGCTTGTGTTTTGATTGCCGGGCCAAGTCAGCAGTTGACTGAACGATGGAAGTGTAATTCTCTCCTGAGGTGGCTGTTTTCTTTCTCCAGGTTATCATCTATATCATTCTATCGGCTGCCTGTGGTGGGCTTGCGTGGCCGAGCTGTGTGCAGAAGTAACTGGAGGCAGCTGGTGCTGGTCACTTGGAGATGAGAATCACAGGAGTGTGAAGAAGCAATCTGCAGAATAACTCTTAATCTTTCACTACTGACACCTTCTCATTCTTCCATCCTGCCGGGACTTCAGACTTTTTTGCCTTATCACCCCAAACAGGCCCAGCTGGTCGCTGCTCCTGTGCAGCTGTAACCTGAAGGATGGGCTGGTTTGAATTACTTGAAGGGATTTTTTTTTGTTTGTTTGTTTCTTTTCCTGTCCCAGCTCCGACCTTCTCGGCTGGGTGGGCGGCACGTCCAGCTCTGGAGGGTTATGTGCATGCTCGCCCGTGTGTCCATGTAGCTTCGCACTTTCATGTGAGCGTGCAAGTGGAGAGCAGTACTGCTAGCGACTGTCCTACCCGTGAGGACGGTGGTGGAGGGTAGTTCAGGGTGGGCTGAGCCAAACTAACGGGGGAGGGACAAGATGGGTGTAGTGTGAATTTCCACTTTCTACAAATATTGGAGACCCAGGTGCCTCTCCCTGCACGTCCGGCCTCGTGTGGTTCCGTAGGGTTTCAGCACGTAGAGGTTGCAAGCGCAGCCTTGGTAGTAACAAAAAGAACGGCTTTGGGGCTGGGGCTATATGCACTGTAAGACGTGGGCGGTGCTGCTTCTGTACGAAATCTCCCTTTTCCTGGAGGTCTTTCTGCAGGTGGTAGGAGAGGGCGTTGGGCCACCTCCGCGTTTTGAAATGGCTGCCTCTTCATCCTCACTTCTTCCTCATCTTCCCCCCCAGCCCCTTAATTTGTGGCTAAATCAACACAGTAAAGGAGATGGTTGCGTATAGTTAAGGTTGCAGTAACGTATCTGCTTTCTCACTTGTTATTTCTCCTGTTCCTCTTTTGAGGGTGGACTAAAATGAATACTAATGTTATCACTTGCGAAGGTGAAATTGGGGGCCAATCTATTGATCTGGCGTGGTAAGGTGTCAGTAATCTGCTGCTTGTGCTTCTACTCCGAAGGTGTGTGCTGAAAACTGAGGACGGAGAAGGGACAGAAGGTCGGGGTTGATGGGTGGTTACTTTCTCTATGGCCTGAAGAAGAAAGGCTCTTTCGGAGGGTGTCGTAACACGTATTCCTCTGGAAAAAAAAAAAAAAAGAAAAAAAAACCCAAAACCAAACCCAAGGCTAATAACCAAATGTAGGATCAAGTATGCCGATGATGTGCTGCCGTCAGAGGACAGGGACTGCTTTGCCTGCTGTTGGGAGCTGCGAACGCTGTTATTTCTGTCCCAGCTGGAGGGCTGAATGGTCAGGCCAGTCCTGGCTGGCTGGAGCCAAAGCCGCTGTCGCCTGGGTGAGGGTGTAGGGGCTTCGTCTCGTATCTTACAGGCTCGTTTCCCAGAGAAGAAATAGAAACAACTGAAATCTCATAAAAGCATCAGATGGTCCACAAAGGAAGCTGCATCTTTTTGACCCAGGGAAGTGGCTTCTCGTGGTGGGTGGAAGCTGTCGAGGTATGGGAAGGGGAGGCTTAATTTGGTGACTAAACTCGAGCAGCCGGTTGGTGCCACGGGCGCCCCGCGCCCTGCAGCGCAGGCTTGCCAGGGGCCGGGCAGCGACACGAAACTGCTGCTCCTGCACGTGCTTTTCTTGGTGTACGTTACGCTGACCTTGGAGCTTTCCAGCAGGTGCCAGATGAAGAGTTCTCCTGTAAACTTAGGGTGCTGATTTGGATTCGTCTTCTACTAGGCTGAAATTTAACTAAGGGTAATCAGGTCTCGATACCCAGAAAGCGTCGGTGGTTCTGATCAGCACGGCGCTCACTGGCATCCGTTTGTGTTAACTGAATGTAAAGCTTGGAGAAAGATTTCCTTCCTCTTACCTCCTGCTCTTGCAGCCGCCCACGGTTCAGTGTACAATTGTGCATGTTTTAGGGATTGTTGATGTTACTGTGTTCATTTCTATGATTTGTTGTCTTATGTACAAATACTTTTTAAAGAAAATACTTCCTTTCCTTTTAAAGGATGCACTGAGGCATTAGTGTAAAAACAAAGTTAACTTGATTTAAATAAAATTACTGTACAGAAAGCGGAGTTCTGCAGTGTCGTGAGAGGAGATCTGGCACTAGGTGTAGACTGTGGGTAGGAACTACTCTGTGAGAGCAGCGTGTGCCTGGGGGTGGGTCACCCCCTCTGTAACGCTGCAGCTCCAGGCTTGGAGAAACGGCAGGTAGCAGTCCTGCTGTGGAATAGGTGTAAAACCTCTCGGCTTTGGAAGGGTTTTGACTTAGTTTGGGTGCAGGTGCTGGATGGAGCCTGTCATGACTTGACGGGGGCAAGAATCTGCTTCTCCTGGTTGTGAACTCGGAGCCGGGGACAAGGCGCCCGCGTGCTCAGAGCACGTGTGGGTGGAGAGAATACAGGAGGAGGAGCGGTGACACAGGCAGTGGCGTTACCCTGTGGAAGCCGAATGAACATCTGTGTAAGAACTGTTTTTTAAGGCGATTTTCAGTGACACAGAACCCCGCTGTCTTGAGGGCAGTCCCTAGTAACGGACGCCTTTCCTTTCTCCAGTGGTAGCTGGGAAGAACCCACTCTGTCTAGAGGAGTCCACCATACAGACCGATTTACTGCTCCCTCTCTTGCACTAGAGCCTCTCTGTAAAAACCCCGTAGCCTTTTGTCTACCTCAGGAAGGTTAAACGCCGATGGTGTGTTAGGTGGTGGAAGCAGGCTCGCGCATCACTGAGGGAGCTGGATTTCCTCTTAAACTTGCAGAAACTGTTTGAGTGCAGTTGATCGTTGTCTTGGTTTGAGGCAAAGCTGCGTTCTAATGACACCTGCTCGGGCTCGGGAGGATACAGAATGTGAAAATCTGAAAGATGATCACTTGGTATGAGAACAGCGTAGAAAAATGAAAGGATAAAACTTAAATTATCGTCTCATTAGGGTGATAGTTCTTACAGAGCTGGGTTTTGTGTTTAATGTTCCTGATCTATGGCGCAGAAGCAAACGCGGCCTCTCCTGTCGTGGGACAGCTGTCTTCCAGTGCGTGTCGGTATCAGGTTTACGTTTCAGACGCTCCTGCCCTCCCGCAGAAGCTAACCGCGGAAGGAGGCCCTGGTAACCCTTCTGCTTGCTTCTCTTCTTAGCCTCTGGTCTGTCTAGAAACGCGTATCCAGATCTGTATCTCTGGAGGCTGCATCGGTTGTGCAGTTCTTCACAGCAACAGTACCACATGCCTGATAAGCTTTAACTAGAATATAACCTTTAAACTCTTCAAACACTTTCCTTTCTTGTTCTTTGCCTGGCATTGAGTATCTGTTAAGTATCCATTAAATAGCAGTGGCTGTCTCGACTTCGGAGGCTGCAGAGAAACGCACTGCCTGGAGAACGCAGGCGTGCTCTTACCTTGGGGATGTAGACCACAGAAAAGGCAAAAGGTGAACTCAAACGCTAGCGGAATCGAACTGAAGCCTTGTCGGTCCTTTACCTTTCCCCACCCTGGGACAGTGACTAAGTTCAGTGTGACCAGGTTCCAGCTCTTCCACCAGGCAGAAGTTACTAGCAAAGAACCTTCTCCATAAAGGAAGAGCCTTAGCAGGACAGTGCTGTAAACTGCGGAGCTTTATCGGGGGTAGGGGGAAGCCTGTTTGTGTAAGAACAGTTGTCTCCGACACCTTCACAGGTGGAAGGAAGGCAGGTGTTTCTAGTCAGCTCCAGTTCAGCCTCTTCTCTCAGCTGTAACAGTGCTCTCAACAAGAACCTTTCAACTGGTGGAACCTACTTCAGAGCAGGTTTGTAAGAGGGTTATTTTAACAGTATACAGCTCCGTCTTAAGAAGTTTATAGTAAAACATTGATATTCATGAGCAAATGGAACATGAGAAAGAAACCCTTGCTCCTTTGCAGTTCCCAGCTTACAGGTGCCTCTCTCAAGAGGTGACAAACCCAACCTTGGTCTCAAAGCTTACGCACCCAATGCTAAAAGCTCCCCTCGTGCGCCTACTTCTTCCGCGCAAGGGGCTGAGAAGAGTCAGCTAGTCACAGACTCAGTCCTGCGCCAGCCCTGCCCTCCTAGGTGAAGTGACTGCCTGCTACAGGCACTGCCCCCCCAGCCACTCTGAAACAGCAGTTTGATACCAGCTCGCTCTTCCTCTTTTTTTCCCCTTTCTAAAGCAAATGATGCAAAAAGTGATCTCGGCTGTAAAGCATCCTGCAGAGCTTCCTATTTGTGAGTGTTGTTTCCTACCTATATTTTGTTCTGCTTAGGCCACTTGTGGATGTTCCGCTAGAAAAGACGTGAACCAAGGGCTGTGAATTAAGTTTTCCTTCGCTAACACCCACCTCATTCGTACAAAAGAGAAGCTGAAGTGCAGAAGCAGACGTCTGTACAGCTGGGCCGGTCAGGAAAAGCCTCGCTCCTAGCACAAAAACACACTCAAAAGTCAGGCTGGCTGTTTGAATAAAGCAGATCTATTTCAGCACCATAACATTTTATTAAACTACGCTATCAAAGTCACATTGATGGCAGGGAGAACGTCGCTATCAGTGCATCTTTTCTGTACTAAGCCTGTATTCAGAGCATCCAGCACTTGCTGAGGAAAAGGACACTGAAACGGAATCCTTCATAGCCAGAGAGACAGTAGGAAACCTACAAAAGTCAGGGCAGTTGGGAGACCAAGGGGAAACACTTCGAGTCAAATCAGTCATGGAGGGTTATTTTTAAAAAGCATAACTGGTGTTTGTTAACTTCCTCATCTGAGATATGAAGATGCTGATAAACTGCAGTTTTTAAGTCGCATCCCCCGTCCCTGCAACTGCCCGTTCACAAACCCACACAAATATTGTGTACTGCTCCTTCACTTGTGAACTGTGATGCACACACTTGAATACAGCAGCTGGGAGTGTACTACAGTTATAAAAACCTGCTTCATCTTCTAGAACAAACAATAAAAAGTAGCAGAAATACATTCTATACAGAAGTAAAAAAAAAAAAACCAAAACCCCAAACAAACAGTTGAGTTTCAGACAAATATTAGAGTACATCAGGTTGAATTTAAAAAGTCTTACTTCTAACATCTATGTCGCTATTTCTAGTCTCCCCAAGCCACTGCTACGCCACACCGTAGCAACAGCTCGGAGCTGCTTTCTGGCACAAACAGGACACCCAGCCGCCTTTTTAAGCGGCATCCTCAGGAGCGGGTCACCTGAGAAGTTTGTTGTGACAAGCCTTCCAAAGGGCTGCAAGTAGAGGTTTGTATGAAATAAGGCTATTTTCAGTCTTCGCGTGAAGACTCGTATTTCAGTAACGTTTTGAACAGTGGAGACACAGTAAAGCAGTTGTCGTTCCACCACGAAGAGGTCAGGCTCTTGGCAGAACAGCAGAAGGTAAGGACAGTTCGCATTCAAGAGGCGAGGAACTTTACACATCGCTCTGCAGCGCGACGGGTCTCTGGAGTTCCAGCTTCAAATAACGTTCTTACGCCCAGCCAGCTGGGGGGTCCGCTTCACGGAGGAGTTCGGCAGTGCGTCAGCATTTTGGGGTGTCAGTAACACCCATCCTTCCAGGAGTCATCCTCAGCAGCCTGAGTGGTCTGTGCTGACTGAAGAAATCTGGTTTGAGAGACCAAAAAAAAGAAGTCACTAACAGCTAGAAGCAGCAAAGACCCCAGTGAGCTGTTGCTGCACGCAGGAACAGCTTGTTTGAGGTTTTAGTTTACACGGGGCTTCTACAACATCTGCCTTCTGGCAACATCAACATCTGCCTGCCGTCGGTAACCTGCTGCAGTCACCCGTGTGCACAGCTCGCGCGTCCCGTGCCCCAGCAGGCCAGCAGAACAGCAGCAGCAATTTCAGGCAGTTTAGAGAAATTAAGCGACTATTACTGGGTACTTAAAACAGCGACATATTTATCCTGCCCTGCTAAGTTATTAACACTGTTGTGGGTTTTTCCCATGACTGACTCCAAGAGAAATATTTTTCCCTGCAAATATGACTAAACACATGAAAAATAATCAGGTTGTACAAATTAAGAGATTAAAAATTCCCTTTTGAGTATTTTTTTTTAAGTAGATACAGTTCAATTTATCGAAGGCTACAACAGGACATTAAAAATCAACACGTACTTATTGCTTATTAGTCTGATACTGAATCAACGTAACTTC